ATAAAATTGACAAAGATTATTATTTAAGGTTGACGGACACGCATGTCTTAATTATTTTTTTTTTGTTTTTTTTTTACGAATTGGTCAAACTCAAACTCAAACAAAAACATTGTTTTCAATCGTTATGAGTCTACCGATTGAATAGAATTTTATTATAAACAATTGTCTTATAAATGGAATTTTTAAAGCATTCAGAATGTAAAAATAAAGAAAAAAGTGTGCAAGACAATAAGAAACACTACCTGACCCCAAAAGTGAAGTTTTGTTGAAATCGGTTGAAAAATGTAGGAAATCCGATCCCATATATAAACGAACACACACACACACACACAAACAACCTGTGTTTTATAATAAGTATAACTCGATATGAGTTGTCCCCCTTTCATTCTCGCGATGCCTCTAGATCGTGTTTTCAAATTGATTTCGTGCAAAAACAATTGTGTTTTTCCAATTTTTGGCACTGTCAGAACCACCGCAAGGTAATTTTACGCGATCCTGTGAAGTTTTGTTGAAATCGGTTGAAAAATGTAGGAAATCTGATCCAATATATAAACGTACAGACACACACACACACACACACACACACACACACACACAACCTGGGTTTTATAATAAGTATGATTTATGTCTTTATTGGTGTAATATGATTAAATAAATGTTAACAAATATAGAGAGAGAAGCAGAGAGAAAGAATGATTCCTATATGGCAATGAAAACCCTATTCAAATCTCAGATTCTATATATTAATTGTATATCTAAACTGATGTAACTGAATAATATGTCACCCACATGAGTGACTACACTATACACAGTAACTTCCTGTAAGTCAACGGACTACAGAATTTTGCTGGGATCTGTTCCAGATGTGCTGTAGAACTCTCTGCCTTCGGACAGAGAGGAACCCGCACGAGGCTATGACGAAAGGCAGAGTCTCGTCAGGGGAGGTAGAAATACCCGAACCCATTTATGCGAATGACTCACATTAAACTCGGCCTTGTGCCACATCTACCCTCCTGGGCGTTAGTAAATATTGTCTAGCTGGGATCTATTCCAGCTGTGCTGGTCAAACTCTCTGTCTCCGAGCAGTGAAGATCTGCCGAAGGACAGTGTCTCGTCTCAGGAAACAGCTTCCTGACCCGTTTTATATGGGATCTATGGGGATTTTGGTGCCGAAATCAACATTAACTTCGAATTGAGCCACATGCAACTGCGTGGGGCAGTTGCGAGATACTCTAGCTGGGATCTGTTGAGAACGACTCAGACTTACGCGAGAACTACCATCCTTCAAATAGTAGCACTCACTATTTGATTGACTTGCGACGACCTTGTGCATAACTGTTAACTTTATTCTTATTGTATTGGTTTTTACAATAAATTTTTTCTTATTTAATCCACTTTGTTTTTCAAGCATATTTTCCTATTAGCACGGAATATAACAAATAATTCCAACAGGAACAACAACTCGTCTCTTCTCTTATCTAGGCCAAGTGGCTCAATGGGGAAAGTATCTGTAAGTCAACAGACTATAGAGAATAGTTAGGATCAGCTGAGTACGACTCAGACTCACGCGAGAACTACCGACCTTCCAATAGTAGCACTCACTACTAGATTGATTTGCGATGACCTTGTGCATAACTGCTATCTTTATTCTTATTGTACTGGTTTTTACAATAAACTTTTACTTATTTTATCCACCTTGTTTTTCAAGTATATATTCCTATTAGCACGGAATATAACATAAACTTTCACAGAAAATGTCATATGTTCAATGTTTATCTCCACGCGCATCGAGTACAGAAAATAGAAAAGAAAAAATATATGAAAAGTTGTTTATTTCATTCTTTTTTTTTTTTTTTTTTGGTCTTCGATATTATCGATTAAGCATTTTATCAATCCGTTTATCGGGATTTTTACTTATCTCCTCTAAGCGATCAAAATGTTTTTTTTTTTTCATTTCTATGCAATATACATTCTTAGATACGATTTGAAGGTGGCTTCTCTGTAAAGTTTCCAGATCAATGACCCATTTCTTGCAGTTCATGAGCAGATAAAAACATGTACGTCGTGTTCTCACAATTTCCCAGAAAATATATAATTGCGGGATTGGTAAAAAATATATGACTAAATCAAATATTATTTGCACTTTCGCCATAACATGTCTTTAGACAAGAGTGCTGGTAATTTTTCCCTTTCTCTTTTAATTCCTAATTCAAATTTAATTTTAATGTTTTCTTCCAAGATGTTCAAGAAAAAAAAACATATATTTTAACTTTAATCAATATTTTATTTTATTGTGCAGATACTTCTAATTCATTAACATTGAGTTTCTGAAGTTAAGCAACATCAATTCGGGTAACTATTTAGGTAGGTACTCTGCTTGTGAACGCAACTGATACTACACTATTTACATTATTCGGACTATTGTCCTCATCTTTGTTGCTATATTTATCACAACGTTTCGGCCGTTGTACGCTCCGGCCTTCTTCAGGTGGTACGAATGCCGAATTGAACCATTTATTTCGCTTGCTGAGGTAGACTGTTCTAGGTACACGTGCCATGTCTATCCCAGCGAGCAAAATAAAGGGTTCAGTTCAACATTCCAACAATCTGAAGAAGTTCGGAGCGTACAACGGCCGAATCGTTGTGATAAATTTGGAAACAAAGATGAGTATAATAATCCGAATAATGTAAATAATGTACAAAATACCTAATCTCAGAAATATAGACAGATACTGAAGGTCCAAAACGTTGTGATAAATATGGCAACAAAGATGAGGACAATAGTCCGAATAATGTAAATAGTGTATATAATACCTCATCTCAGAAATATAGACAAATAATGAAAGGCCGAAACGTTGTAACAAATATGTCGACAAAGATGAGGACATTAGTCCGAATTATGTAAATAGTGTAAATAATACCTCATCTCAGAAATATAGACAGATACTGAAGGACCGAAACGTTGTAATAAATATGGCGAGAAAGATGAGGACAATAGTTCGAATAATGTAAATAGTGAACATAATACCGCATCTCAGAAATATAGACAGATACTGAAGGGCCGAAAGGTTGTAATTAATATGTCGACAACGATGTTGACAAAAGTCTAAATAATGTAAATAGTGTACATAATACCTCATCTCAGAAATATAGACAGATCAGTATCTGTCTATATTTCTGAGATGAGGTATTATGTATCTCTGAAATATAGACAGATACACCTGATACTGTAAACAACCTCTGATATTCCAAAATAATTCAGTTGAAATTCTTAATCTGACCTCCTTATCCATTACTCCTACTTAGCTGTACGAAATAACATACAAAAAGACACTTGAAGTCTATCAAGAGCAAAGGCAAACAAAATGAGTAGCACATTTAAAAAAAATCGAAAAAAACATATTGATCTCATCAATATGTTGATTTTCCACATGTCTTCAAACGAAAAGATAGCCAGGAAACTGCATTTCACCCGAATGTAACATCCAACTGAAATGAATCTTTACTCTTTTCCAACTGCTTGGTCCTATTTATTCGCTTCCCGTCATAATAGATATTCATATCCCTGACAACATATTGAGCGTAGAAACATATCATTGGTGCCATCAAAAGATATACATATCACTCAGGCAGAAAACAGACATCAAAACTAATTTCTCACATATAGTCCACATTCGTCAAGTTTATTTCCGAGATAAATGCTTTCACCCCATATGTAGCGAGTCGGCATTAAATCTGGATGTGTTTCTCTCAAGAAAAGATGTTATTAAATGAGGTTGAATTTCTTTTTTATGTTTCTCGGGAGACATAAAACAAATTGTACCAATACAGAGCCAATAATAGGCGACGATATCATTTTCCTGTTTCCCTGTGAGCTATAACCTCCAGCTATTCAAGTGTAATGTCAATCGACATCTCCAGTTGCCTTGATCTATCCACTACCCCCATCCTTTCTTCTATCACTCCTATCTGATCTTGCTCTAAATTTTCTGTAACCCCTTGCGTCCTAGTGGCTTCCCGCCTTGCTTGGGGTGAAATGCTTAAAAAAAAAAAAATTTGGTCTACACATTTCTTGGATATTAAAATCCTTACATAATGACATCTATGATTTTTGCATTTTTGTTTTTTTACAATTAGAACTATATATATATATATATATTTTTCCCTTACGATAGTTCTCTTTTGTATTTTTGGATATCACATATGTCACACAATGAAATAAATTCTCCCTGCAGTGTTTTTTGAAGAATCATTGAATTGAAAAAAATAAAAATAAAAGGAATATTGTAAAAAGGAAAGTTACTCAAACTAATAAAAGAACTAATCTTGAAGGAACACGTATCAAATATTCAAAATCTTCTTACGCCATTATGTGGATAAAGTTAAATTTTGTCCTTTTGTTATTTCTTCTAAACACTGTTCCACTATCTATTCAAACTTGCTAGATGTAGGTTCTGCTTTTTTTTATTTATCACTTTTGCCTTCTGCCTTATAATCATTAAAGTTTCCAAGTCCTCTTTCCTTATTTTGTTCCCTTTTAACGCCAACTGCCTCTTCCTGATGTTAATTAAAAATATCCTTTCTGAATTTTCACTAAAACTTCCTCGTTGGTCACATGTTCCGTCCATTGTATTTTCAGTATCATTCTGTCTGTAGAAGTTACTTTTCGGAACGAAACGCGTCACTGTTCCCTTTTCCATTTTGTCATTTACTTAAATATATTTATACTTTAGTTTTCGGATTCATTTTGTTAAACGCTGACCCTTTTTATTAATAACTCAGTGAAACTTTAGATATTTGCCCCCTTTACATGAGACTAATTTTCCATCAGATATTGCAATGTCTAAACATTTTAAACTGAAATGAATGCTGTTAATTTTCTTCCTCGGTGGCAATTTTTCTGGCTTAGAGCCACATCACATTGAAACACCAATTCCGTACATTCACCGAAGTTAAGCATCGTCCAGCCTGGTCAGCACATATGCGGTTGGAATGGCTTACGGCTACATCCCATTGAAACACAGGTTCCCGTGCGATCACCGAAGTTAAGCAACGTCCTGGCCTGGTTAGTGACTAGATGGGTGACCACTTAGGAATACCATGTGCTGCAGACTTATATATGCGATTGGAATGGTTTTCGACTACATCCAATTGAAACACACGTTCCCGTGCGATCACCGAAGTTAAGCAACGTCGAGCTTGGTCAGTGCCTAGATGAGTGACAACTTAGGAATACCATGTGCTGTAAGCTTGCGTTTGCAAGTGGAATGGGTTTCGGCTATATCACGTTGAAACACAGATTCCCTATAATTACCGAAGTTAAGTAAGGTCGATGCTAGTCAGTACCTAAATGGGTGACCGATTAGTAATACCAGATACTGCAATCTTGGATGTGCATGTGGAATGGCTTACGGCCACATAAGTTTGAAACACCTATTCCCGTACAATCACCGAAGTTAACTAACATTGAGCCTGGTCAGTATCTAGATGGGTGACCGCTCGGTAATAGCATCTGTTGTAAGTTTGGATGTGCGGCTGAGGACCCGCTGTCTGGAGCTTCCCTCTAGCCTTGCCTTTGTCATTCCCCTTTTCCTTTTCAGAGTCCCCACAAGCGGTTGGCAAAGGCTTTTCGGGAAATGGGTGCCATGCGTTTCATCATATCGGTCACAATTGTTAGCATGTCCCAGTCACAGGCGAGACGGAGATAACACGGGGAGAGGGGGATTTGGGTTCGCCGGTGGGGGGCATAACTCCAGAGACCTTCTTCTCTGGTCAGGAAGAAGAGAGGTAACGAGTCTCTCCACACTTCCAACAGGTTTGGTTTTCGGCCGGTCACAATGACCAACATTTTCAGGTCCTCTACATCCTAGACAGTTGGGGATGGAGGTAAAGGCTTTACGGTCAATCATAAGTTCGAAACACTACCTCTCTTTCAGGTTATCGAAATAACCCTTGCCTACCTTGGGACTTATCCCCTAGATGTGTCAATGATTTTATTATGATGTCTTTTGTGAAGCGACAAATTTTGCACGAAGGATTATCGACTATATAGATTGACACAGTTATTTTTTCAGCCTTCTGTAATTGATGAAGGTCTACCAAGTGCCCATCTTCTTTGATAAGATGTACGTATGTCTTGAATCTCTCAGAGTACCATCATGTTGATTATGCACTTAGGTATGGAATTCTAGTAAGAGATCGACTCTCCAGCCATTAAATTTTCCTCTTTTCTTTTACTGTTGTTGTTACCGGATTCTGTTGACAACATATTTTCTTGATTTTGACTGTTCTTAGCTTCCATAGTTCCCCTTGAATCTATTAGGTCGTTATTTTTTTTGGCAATGGTTACGTTCCCAGTAGTCACTGTTGATTGAGTGTTTTTTATCGGGAGAATCTTTCTTTTTCGACCCGAAAATATCTTTTTTAATTGACTGATGTTTATCGGCCAATTTTTCTTACTTTAAATTACATTTTTTTCTTCTTTTTTTTTAGCGAAAAAATGGGGAATTTTATTTAATAAATACATGAATAACAAAAAATCTTAAAACAGTTACAGAACAATGAACAACAAATTTACAAGGACAATGCAAAATAAAAAATACAATCCAACGTTGTTTAACAAAAAGGTTTTGACGTGAAAAACCTACACAAATTAAAACAAAGTCCTTTAGAAAAGGAAAGTAAATTTAACCATGAAAATAGAGAAAAAAATGATAGGCGAAGAGAAAAAAATTTGCATGGGAAATAAAATGAATAAATAATAAAATGAAAAATAAAGACTAATCGAATGTGGCTTAACAAAAGGGTTTTGACGTGAAAAATTGCACAAATTAAAACAAAGCCCTTTAGAAAAGGAAAATCATTTTCACCATGAAAATAGAGAACAAAAAGACAGCGTAAGGAAAAAAAAAACATTTGGTGACTTTCTATCCGAAGACAGATCCCAGCTGAGCCATCCTCCACCCGAAGACGGGGGACATGTTGCCCTCTGGCCGAACACAGAGGTCTTGTTTTTTTGCGAGCCAGATGGCGAACTGCCGGATTCTGGTGGACTGGTATTTACTGCTCACCCTACTGCGGACTAGATGCGATACATAGTCAAGTTTTCCTGGGGGAATTCCAGCGTTTCCATCTGAGCCACTGGTCAAATTTTACCCAGTCGCCGCCAAAGCGTGCTCGGGTACACAACTGGTCTGTTTTTTTCGGCCGAGTTTCTATCCGAAGACAAAGCCTGACTGAGACATCCTCGGACAGAAGACGGAGGTCTTGTCACTTTCTATCCGAAGACAAAAGTCTAATGTCTTGCTTTTTCGCAAGACAGGCAGCGGACTACCTGATTCTGACAGACTTGACTTACTTGAAGTTCTGTATGTAAGACATCTTGCTTAGTTTATTTGCCTACACGAGGGTATCATATTTACTACACAACAGTGTATCACCGATAGTATTTCAGAAGACGCCGACGAAATAAATATTAGCGGTGAAATCATCCGTCTCCTCAAAAAAAAAAAACATTCGGCGTTCATTGATTGAAAATTTAGTGAAATACATAACTGAAATTTATGAAAATAATTTTTAAAGCGACTTTTTTTTTCTGGAAATTAGAATCATCAAGTCTATTTCCGATTTTGACAGACGTTTCCTTCCTAACCTTTTGTTTTTACTATTGGTGAATCATCGTGATTATATCATTATTTACAATTCCAGTTCTTTGTTTTTTCTGTTTAGGCTATTGTTGGCATAAAAATAGTAGGATCTGTACACCAGCGGCACTGCATAACAATACCGCGAGGCAGATATGCGCCGTGTGAGTGTAAATGTGTTAACGCCAAAAATGGCCTTTTTGATTCTTCACAGAACATTATCGATTTGGCCATTCAAAGTAGATGCTTACTTTCCACTCGCGCTGGTTTTCAGTTTTCGAGCTGAGGTGAAATTTGCAATTGGATGTGAAAATAAGTGAATCACACTTTTCTTAGCGTAATTCAAACTATTTACACTTTCCACTTATTAAGAAAAGCTTAATACATTTTGAGACACCCCGAAAGAACTTCGGAGTCAAGAAGGGTGCTGTATAATTTTCACGGATTCTAATCTTTATATTAGGCTTTATGAGCAGCAAAGATTTATATAGCAATCAATATGGAATATAGTTATTATACAGGGGGTTGCAAAAGTAGTTATAAAGCAAGTATTATGCCAGTATCATAATAATGATTCTAAGATTCGTTTAATACTAGAATTCATTTAATTGATTAAAATCGTTTTTAATATTTTTATTTTCAGAATATTCAATATAATACATTTATTATAATTCGTATATTTTAATAAATAATAATGATAAAAGTTTTGCACGTAAATCGGAGTGTTTTAATGACGAGACATACAGTTTGACTATTTGAGGCATTGATATGTTTATTATTGGTATGCTTACTTTAACGTTTGTACGGTGGAGTAATGGATAGCGGCTCGGATTCAGGAATGGGAGAGCCGATTTCAAGTTCCAGTCGAATTCATTATATTCAATTACGTCTTAATGCTCTTAGGAAAGTTTTGAATCTTTTTCTTCTCGCGCCACCAGCTCTGTGTAAATAGCAGGACAGACCGAATTCTATAACCTTGGATGGGAAATGGTCTAACGCAGAAAGAAAAATTAAATAACCCATTGAGGTTGATATGCCATAAAACAAAATAATCTAAACCAAAGAATACATATTATATTTATACGAATCTATCCTAAAAATGTTATCGGCATTAAATAACCCATAGAGGTTGATATGCCCTGAAACAAAAACCAAATCAAACCAAACTCTCGACAAAAAAAAACATCTTTACAAAAATTCATCAATGAAACCTGATCTATAAACTGATTTTTCATGAAGAATACATATTGAGATTGATATGCCGTAAAACAAAATAAACCAAAGCAAACTAGACTCTCGACTAAATCCTTCTTTACAAAAATACTTCAATAAAACCTGATTCATAAACTGATTTCTTTCGAAGAATACATATTGTATTCATAGTAAACTAACCTGAAAATCTTACCGGCATTAAATAATTCATTGAGGTTGATATACCGTAAAAGAAAATAAATCAAACCAAACCAAGCAGTGTCACTCTTTTTTGGAAAACTAGTATAATATAAACATTTTCAACCAATTTTGTTTTAGTCTGTGCTAAGTAAAACTTACTGTGCATTAAAATTGTTGCGTCAATGTGTAAGTAGCAAATCTTAGCCAATAGAAAAGAGACGCGAAGAAGCGAATTTATAAATCCAATAGATCTGTTATCATACAGACATGGTAAAGGAGATATCGAAAGTCTTAAGTGCCAGAAGCATTTTTTTATTCATTTATTTTTATTCTGGATATAAAAAAAAGCCGGCATTTGCTATCGGAATTGGTAATTCCGTCTGCAATTGTGTTTTGTATCCTAATTCAAACCGAGACCCAAACGCATGTGCAAACATGATTTACTTTCAATCCTCCATACCTTTGTTCCGAGATTTGGAATAAATACGACGATAATGACACCGTAACGTTCCAATGTTTTCCTGTAAATGTATTTATCTATTTTCTTCCTTCGTTTTGTAACTGATGTTATTCCTTATCTCTGAGCCTACCAGCGTTTTGATTAAGAAATACTGTGTTAGCGTATCTTATCACCAATTCTCATGTTTTTTTCTCACTTTCCTCCATAACACTTATTCAGAGAAACTATCGTAACAAGATAGTTATATAGAAATATTCAATTAGATTGTGATTGGCGTAGTTTTTCGTCGTCACTCACAATTGTCCTGACTTCATCTTGTGTAACCTTCAGCTGAATAGCTGTTGATATAATTTCCAGTGCTTTCTGGATTAAATCATTTATTATATGAGACTACGTTACCATTTCGGCAATGTATTTCCTCCTGTTTTTCTAAATGGTTACCGGCTTGAGCTAACAAGTAACGATTTTGGTGACAATTGAAAATAGAAAACTACTAAATTCTTAAGTCCTTTCTTTTCTTTTGAAGTTGAAATTGACCAAAATTGTTTTAATATATTATCCCGACACTCCCTATTAGCGAAATTTAAAATATCGTAGTGTTCATCATGAAACGTTAGTGTTGCATCTCGTGCAAAGGTTTGCTTCGATTCGTCATGTACCAACGCTAAATCACAAATTTATTTTTACTCACTCTAATTTTTAAGGCATTTTTATGTTTATACATCCTTTTTATAGATACAAATATTTACCAAATGCGCCGTTTATCATAAACATTATTAATAACATTTACCGGCCTGAATGTGCGAAAAATTTTCATAGTAAATATTCGTCTTCCGAAAATTTCTCGGACATTCAGGCAGGCAAATATTATTAATACTGTTTACTATAAACAGAGCATTTACTTAAATATTCGTATCTATAAAAAGAATGTATAAACATAAACATTTCTTAAAATAATTGTCGGACTTTGTCCATTTCATAATGTGTGACATCATTTTTTTACATTTAAATACGCTTTGAGCAGAT